AATACCCTGTAATAAAAAAAAAGGTTACAAGAAACAAACTAAACACATAAGAAATCTATTAAGTAAGGCTTGTATACACTGGACTTGCTCCAATAAACTGGCTATGTGATGATTAGGGCAGGGAATGATTCACTTCCTTCTTTCTTAGTTCCCAAAAAGAGTCCACCAGAGGAATCGGGGAGAATCCGAGTTTGTGAATAGGGAGCTCGTTATGACTCTTACCCAGGGCAGCCCCAACTGAGATGTCTCATATTTGAGATGCCACGGAAGTGTGTTTGGAAGCAAAGTTTGGGTCAGGAAAGAGAAAAGGAACATGAAAAGGAGGAAGGAGACAGAAGTAGCAGAATTAAGACAATTATTCCAAATGCACCCTACCTCACTATTCTTGACCTTGCACCCAACATTTCTATGTACTGAATGTACCTCTTTGAGTTACAGTTTCTCATTCAACAAATCTCATAGACTAGATGATATCCACAGTTACCTTCCACTCTCATATTCTATGCCTCTGTGATTGTTTTTCCTTGATTGTGCTGAGATTGGATATGTGACCATGGCAGTGGATAAGATGAGCACAGGTGGATAGCACAGGAATAAGTAGCTACTTTTTCATGATCTGTGCTGTAATAATAGTGTCGGGAATGCTCAGGCTCAGAACAAGCTGAGGCTGGCAATGATTGCTAAGGATAGCAAAAATGGCTTTTGAAGCTATACTGGGGATGGGAGGAAGGGAGAAGGGTTGAGACAGGAAGATCAAAGAAAGCCAGAACAGCTATCACTATCTTAAAAATAACCTATCATCAAAGTATAACAAGAAGCAAATTGAGTTCATGAATGGAACAATGAATGGCTGGTGGCACAATTAAACTATTTTCTTTTTGTTTTTGACACCAATTAGAATTTAGGATTGGGAAAGAAATAATAAAGATGGTTAACAGAGAGATGAAACCCAAGATAAAGTGAGGGAATAGTAAGAAATCATCCCTAGCTGCCCTCAACAAGTTCAAATCCTAGGATAGTAAAAGAATTGGTGTTGTGAGGGGACAACAAAATCAGTATGAATTAATGTTGTTTAGCCATCTACATTCAGTGCTTCTACTTTCTCTCCTTTTCATGGAAGCCCGTTGCAATCTAGTTTTCAACCTAATCACTTAGTTGAAACTCCTCACATCAAACTTGCCAAAGTTTGCTTAAAAATTGTCACATATAATGTTATTTTCTTAGTCCTCGTCTTTCTTGACTTCTCTGTGTAGCTCAGTACTGTCAGCCATCTTCTACTGCATACTCCCTCCTCCTCCACCTCCTTCTCCTCTTTGGGTTTTCATGACTTCACCTTCTCTTGGTTTTCCTCTTTTGAATTCTCCTTCTCAGTTTTCTTTCTTAAATCTTACATCTATATCATGTCCATTAACTGTGGTGGTCTACCAAGTCTCTGTTCTGTGCCCTCTTCTCTTTTCCCTCATCATTTCTTGCTTGATGACACCATCAACTACTTTGCATTAAAATCATTTTTATGAAAATGATTTCTAGATCTTTGTCATCAGCCCTAATCTCTCTTCTGAGCTATGGTCATGCAAACTGAATTACTTATTGGATGTCCCCATAGGCATCTTAAACTCAACATGTCCAAAACAAAACTCATTATCTCTCCTCCCAAACCTTCCCTCTTTTCAACTTCTCTATTACTGTCAAAGGCACCACCATTTTCTTAGCCACTCAGATTCACAACCTGATTGCCATCTTGAATTCTTCACTCTTACTCACGCCCCACCCATATCCAATCAGTTGCCAAATCTTGCCATTTCTTTCTCTACATCATCTCTCACAAATGACCCCTTCTCTACACTCCCATAGGCACCATACTAGTTCAAGCCCTCACCATCTCTTGCCTGAGTTATCACAAAAGCCTTCTCATCAGATTCCCTGTCTCAAGTATCTCTCCACTACAATATATCTCAACACAGCTACCAATGTAGCTTTCCTCAAGTGTAAGACTGATCAAGTCAACCCTGCACCCTCAGAATAAACTAATGACTCCTTCCTACCTATAGGTAAGAATATATATAAACTATTCTGTTTGGCATGTATAGCTCTTCACAATCTGTCAGCTTTCCATCTTTCCAATCTTATACTTTATTCCCCTTCACAAACTTGATGGTACAGTATTACAGTCCTGCTTATTATTCCTCTCACACAATGTTCCATTTCCAGGCTTCATGCCTTTGCAGAGGCTATTAACCATTTTGGGATGCCCTCCCTCCTAATTTCTGACTGTTGGAATCCCTGGCTTCCTTCAAGTCTCAGCTGCTGCCTATCCTGCCTTTCCCAGTTCCCCACAGCTGCTACTCCCTTTTCCTTTCAGATTATCTCCCATTTACTCTGCATGCATCTTCTATTTATGGGCAGCTAGGTGGTACAGTGTATAGAGTGCCAGGCTGGAGTCAGGAAGACTCATATTCTTGAGTTCAAATCTGACCTCAGATACTTATTAGTTGTGTCATCTTGTAAAAGTCACTTAACCCTGTTTGCCTCAGTTTCCTTATCTGTAAAATGAACTAGAGAAGGAAATGGCAAACTACTCCAGTATCTTTGTCAAGAAAACCCCAAATGGGGTCACAAAGAGTAGGACACGACTGAAAAATTACTTAACACACACACTTAACATCTTCTATGTATCTATTTGTGTATATGTTGTCTCCTTGTTAAAAAAAATAAGCTGCTTGAGGGCAAGGACCATTTTTTTCTTTTTCTTTGTATCCCCAGTGCTTAGTGCAGCACCTGGCACATTGTAGAGCTTACTGATTGATTGTTAATTGCTTGCATGATTGAGGGCAACGCCCCCCCAAAAAAACCTAAAGAGGTCTGAGGATGTGAAGTGTTCAGAACAAGAGCAGTATTCACCTTGTACCCTGCTCTGCCCTCTCTGAGTACTGTGCTGAATTCTAAATGCTTTATATTAGAAAGGACATTAACAACTGGGATTGTGCCTAGAGAAGAGTGAAAGGGCTGGACACCCCTTCACATTGAAGAAAGGTCTATTGAAGAAAATGAGAATGTTTCATCTGTGGAAAAAAAGGGAAGAAGAGAGCAGTTTTCAAGTGTTTGAAAGATTCTCGATTAGAAGATGTTTTTCTAGGACTCCAAGAACAGAAATTAGAGCAAAAGGAGGAGCTATAAAGAGACAGATTTAAGCTTAAGGGGAAGAAAAAATATTCCTTAATGATGACTACTGTGCTCAAGTGAAATGGGCCACTTTGAGAAGTAGTGAGTTCCCCTATCAATGGAGTAAAGGGTACATGACCACTTGTCAGGGATGCCATGACAACCTCTGAGTTCTCGTCTGGTTCTGAGAATCAATGGGAGGACTCTTGTTCCACTGTGGGAATCACCTCTCTTTCTACCTGAACCTTCCCTTCTTCCACTTTCTGGCTCCATCTCCAAAGCTCTCTTTGGGGTTGGGGTGGTCCAGAACTGCTCCTGGCTTAGAAGTGCCATCTGCACAGCTCTCTAGCCTTTACCCCACCCACTTTATGACACTGATGGCCATGTATAGATATGACCTTGGTTACCTTGGAAAACCTGGAGGCATGCAAAAAGGGAGAGCTCTGTTCCCTCAGTGACTCCAATGACTATGCTATTGCTTGCTGAACTTGTAGGACAGAAATGAGCAGATTGTTGACTGGTATATGGGCCTTTTTAATCTCTGCTTAGTGGCTATCTCTCTGGATATCACCACACTTTATTAAAAATACGGTAATGAAATGACCCTTCCATTATTACTGGTGAAAATCATATGGGATTATAGCTTTATATGTACATGTAATATGTTCATGGAATTGTAAACAGGACTGAAGATCTGCAGCTAATGGGGACCCAGAGGCCATGTTGTCCAACTCCCTCATTTTACAGTTGAGGAAATGGAGGCTCAAAGAGAATGAGGTCACATAATTAGTAAGTGGCAGAGACAGAATTTGATCCCAGGTTCTCTGATGCCAGAACCAGTGTTCTTGGCACTGTGACACCTAGAACTTAGCATAGTGTTTGACACATTGTAGGCCCTTAATAAATGTGGATTGATTGACTTGTCAGGAGCTCCGTGTAAACACTTGCCTTATGGGGTTGGGAGTGGTGGTGTTGGAGAGGGGTGTCAGGTACAGTTCATTAAGCTGGGTTTAGGAAATTGATTAGAGCTAGCAGGTAGACTGAGATTGGTATGTGACATGTCACTGGATCTAGGAGCTGTCAGTCAAGCCTAATCTGTGTAATGCGCATGAAGCTTAATAAACGCTTGTTGACTTGATACCAGAACTCAATGAGATATGGTGATAGAGGAACTAGTTGTGCTGCAAAAAAGGAATAAGGAAGTAAGTTGGGGATGGAACCAGAGAGAGGCAAGATCAGGGTCTTCTGAAGCAGCATATTATTTGCCCATAAGGCCAGGCCAGATTTAAATCCTGGATTGATGGGATAGGATTAGTTACTCAAAAAAAATAGGCCTTCCATCCTTATTTGAGCTAGAGATGCCTTAAGCTTAGATTGCTCAACAATCCATCAATTCTGCACTCTATAAATTTGTTTTAAAGGTCTGTACGAGCAATAAACAAATGACCCCAGGGTTAGCACCCCGGTGCAGAAATGACTCTGGCCTTGATGTAGGATGTGGCTTTGAGAGCTGGTTCTCTTCCTGTCTGCCTGGGGATGTATCTTTGGAGACAATTCTCTTTTTTCACATCCTCTATGGTTTTCCTTAGCAACATTTAGGAAGCAACAAATGTTTAAGCATTATGTGTCAACTCTTATTTCTGGCCCAGTTTTAAAAGGTTAGAAACTGCCTATTGTCACTATCATCGGATGCCTAGCATTTGCACTACTCCCTTATCCAAAACTCACTTTGCTTGGCTCAAAAATTCTCCAGTTAAGAGATTCTATTCTGTCTTATCTCTTCTCTCCCAATCAGGAACATAGAAAGCCTCTGTTATGGCCAAAGGAGGTAGACTTACGCAGGTTTCTTGCTGAATGCACTGTAAGATCCTCTTGGCAGGAACAAGGAAATCAATCAGGCAACGCAGACCATCTCCTCCATACAGCTTTTCAACAATAGTGAAAAGCTGCCACAGGACAGTGGCAGCTGTTGCCTCAAAGGGAGGATACAGTGCAGAGAGTGTGTTCTGAATGTAGGTGTCAAGGGATTCAGAGTCCTGTGGAAAAAAAATGAACAGTTGTCAGAGACATTCAAATATATAACTTTCAACAAAGCATGAGGAACCCCTTAATGATGGTGCTATTGGAGGATCCTGCCCTCCAGGCTGCCTGAGTAATGTTAGGCTTTTACCCTGTAGACAAATCTTATAATACTGAACCACATTCAATGGTTTTATCCTTCTGAGATTCACTGCTCTGTTATACTCAAAATAAGTTGTCAATCACCCAAAAGTACATCATAGAAGGACTCTTTCTCTCCAAGATGGAGAGTTTTAAATGCCAAAGTGGAGTTTAATGTTTACAGAAACCTTTACAAAGCACCCAATGCCACTGTAGCAACATATTTCGAACAAAGATTTCGTTAGTTTGTATTCGTTCGTTAAATATTTATTCGACTCCAAAGTAGAGAAGGAAAGAAATTGTCTATGTATCCATACACTGATTACAGTTCCCTGTATAACCGTCTAGCTCCCATCTATGTCTCCACAAATTATTCTGTTGTAAATGAGCTGGAATATGTTTGCCTTAGTCAGATTTCATTCATTCATTCAGTGCTTATTAAGCCACTTTTATTATTTTTTTGGGAGGGGGTTGGATCTGTGATTTCTTTGGTATAGAAAGAGCCCTCTAAAGCACCTCCCTCTGCCAGAGCATATGAGTACCTGTTCTGCAACTTAACTGTGTTAGAGAGTTTCCTATACTGCTAAGAAGTTAAGTGACTTGCCCACACTGTCGGCATATGTCAGAGGTGAGACTCAACCCACGTCTTCCTGACTCCAGGGTCAATTCTCTATCCACTAGGATATAATGCTTATAGGAAAAACAGTGTGGCATAGTGGAAAGGCTCTGGGGTTAGAATTAGGAGTGCTGGAATTCAGCCCTGGTTCTGTTACCAACAAGCTATGTGATTTCTGGCAAATTACCCTATTTTGTTGTTGTTCAGTTGTTTTTCAGTCGTGTCTGACTCTTCATGACCCCATTTTGGGGTTTTCTTGGCAGAGATACTGGAGTGATTTTCCATTTCCTTCTCCATCTCATTTTACAGATGAGGAAACTGAGGCAAACAGGGTTAAGTGACTTGCCCAAGGTCACACAGCTAGTAAGTTGTCTGAGACTAGATTTGAACTCAGGAAGATGAGTCTTCCTGACTTCAGCCCTAAACCATTGCATCACCTCTCTGCCCACAAATTACTATATTTCTCTCAGTTTATTCTTCTCCAAAATTAGGTTAGATTAGATAACCTCTAAAGTCTTTTGGAGAGAGAAAGTTCCTAGGATTTAAGGATTCATTTTCTTAATGCTGCTGAAGAAGAGTAACCTAGCTCTTAGGTAGGGCAGGGGGAACAATTTTATGGATAGCAGATAGATTTCAGTTGCAGTGGGGACTGATCACTCTCAAAAATAACATTATTGTTGAAGTAGACAGTAGGCATAGTTCATTAAGGTCACATAATTCTTTTCATAGCAATTTGTTGTAGTAGGGTTTTTTTTGCCTGTAATGAGGGAATGCTGCTTTCCCAAAATTACAATATGATTTTAAAAGTGCTATTTTTAGAGTAGACATTTCCTGAGGAAATACCACAAGATATATTTTTGTTGGAAAAGAAATGAAAGACTAGAAAGCACTGTTTAAAAAAATCCAGGGGATCAAAAATGAGAAATCAAAATTTAAAAACAAGTGTTCCCCATCTGAATTTTTGTAAAGAAAATTTTTTTAGGGAAAGTAAAGAGGGGTCATGTATGAAATAAAAATTCACTGCTCACTAGATGACTGGCCCAGCTTCCAGTCTGAGATATAAGGAAGAGCCTTTTGGCTCAGACAGAAACCAGTACAGAGACAGGATGATCTTAGAAGAGAGATATAGCAGAATTCCAGGGGAATAAAGACGATCTCAGAAAAGCTCAAAAATGGATGAATATTTATTTCAAATACTAGATCAGGGTCCCTTATTCTCCATAAAGCATGAGCAGACTCATTCTAGCTGCTCATCTGGACTATAGAATGTTCCTAAAGAAACAGATCTTCCCATTTCTCTCATTAACCCCAATAATACCAGGTTTATAAAGACTGAGCAATCTGTTCAGAATTAATTTAGCTTGACTATGCATGTTTGGCACAAGGGTTTTGTTTTTCTTTTTCTTTTTTCAATGAGGGAAAGGAGAGGAGGAAATAAAATTAAGGTTTGTTACTTGAATAAAATTTAATAAACACAAAAGAACTGGAATTCTAAGGAACTATCCACTTATAATGTTTCCTTCAATATTGTTTTTCAAACTTCTAGTGTTAAGTTTTAGTATTAAAACTAAGAGTTGGAAACAAGGAAAAAGAAAGAAAGAAAGACTGGAGAAAACCCCCCAGAGGAGTATGGCAATGAAGGAATATTGACCTAACAGAGTTGACAGCAGGTAAGAGTGTTCATTTTTATTTGGGGAATGATATTATAATTGATATAGACAATTTATCTGCAATGTCCCAAGGTCTCTGGGTAAGTGCAAAGTAGTATGAGAAAATGAAAATATCAAATCTCAATGAAATGGGCAAGGAGCAATTCCCCACTAGCTTTGGATTCAGTCTTCCAAAAGGTTAAGAAAAACAGAATTCTAAGAACCCAGAGACCCTTGTGTTCTCTTCTCTGAGATTAGGGCTTTCATTCTCTACTAGAGCCTTGTTTTTGCATGATTCTGGAACATCAGGGACTCAATGTCAGACAAGTCTGTGTTGGATATTGAACAAGGCACTTTATTATTGGAACAACCAGCCATGCATGTGATCATAACATTGTTTTGCCAATAACATCGTCCCATGGCACAGACCTTGAGCACTGCAATATGGCAATGCTCCTGCCAACATTCATAAGAATATGTCTCTGTGTGCCTTGGAACAAAAAAGACCCACACCCCACCCCACCCCACCAACCTGCACTTCAATATGTCAAAGAGTCCTATCCATGATTTCTCTGGGTGAAATCTAGAGTCAGAATTTTATACTGCACCCACAGAGCCTCCCTTAATGTCAAAGGTGAAGTCTCTGTTATTAATTACCTTTCCACAAATATCTTATCATCCAAATCAGGCATCATTACAGCTCATGTGCTGTCAGATTTCTAAAAGTCCAACTATATGAAAATCTTGCCTTAGAAAAAATGTAAATGAAGACTTATCATGCATTTTCCAAGGTATTCTTGGCTTTGCAAAACATTAGACTTCCTATTTCCTTTTAACAGTGAGTGCTAGTGCATTCAAGTGATTCAATCTACTAAAATTTAATCCAACCACAGGCTTTTAAGAGCACATCTATTGTTTCGAGAAGAGGTATCAAGCACTGAATGAAACAGTCCTGAGTGCAGGCTGAACCCAATTAAAATGTAATTGGGAAATATTTAACAAACTAAATAAAAATACAGTCAAACATAGATAATATTATATTTTAAAACTAAGTCAATATGTGACAGCCAGGATCCTAATCTTATTATTAATGGTCCCCATTTCTATTTGTCCTAAAGTAAGGCATACCTTTTGTAGGCATCAGAAAATATATAAAGTGGAGGTAAAAGTGTTTGGAGGGGAGCAAGCTAACTCGAGAAATCAAGGACAGAATAATGGTAAGGGTAGTGAAAATAGGAGAAGGTTATTCAGGTAAAAGCAGAGGTAGTAAACCTGATGAGGTGACGATTTTTTTTTTTGGTAAATAACATTTTGTTTTTTTCCAATTACATGTAAAGATAGTTTTCAACATTCATTTTTTTATAAGATTTTGAGTTTCAAATTTTTTCTCCCTCCCCTCCCATCCTTTTCCCCAAGACAGCAAGCAATCTGATATAGATTATACATGTATAATCACATAAACATATTTTCACATTAGTCATATTGTGAAAGAAGAAACAGAACAAAAAAGGAAAACCAGAGAAAAAAAACAAAAAAAAGTGAAAATAGTATGCTTTGATCTGCATTCAGATTCCATAGCTCTTTCTCTGGATATGGACATATTCCGTCATGAGTCTTTTGGAATTGTCTTGGATCATTGTATTAATGAGAAGAGCTAAGTCAATCATAGTCGATCATCACACAATGTTGCTGTTACTGTGTACAATGTCTTCCTGGTTCTGCTCACTTTATTCAGCATCAGTTCATGTAAATCTTGGTAAAGAAATTTTTTAAGCTCCTAAGCAGGGGCATAGGTGAGTTGTTTACGCAACCATATTCTGATCTACCAATGAATTAGAAAATGGCCATGATTTTACTCCCTTTCTAGACTAACCACTCTGTCTGTCCAACTAGAGCTAGGTTGCCTGGTAAGGAGATTCAGTGATCTTTATTGTTGTTGTTGCTTAGTCATTTCAATCATGTTTGACTTTTCATGACCCCATTTGGGGTTTTCTTGACAAAGATACTGGAATGATTTGCCATTTCCTTCTCCAGCTTATTTTACAGATGAGGAAACTGAGGCAAGCAGGTTAAGTGACTTGCCCAGGGTCACATAGCTAGTAAGTGTTTGAAGGCAAATTTGAACTCAAGTCTTCCTGCTTCCGAGCTTGGCACTCTATCCACTGTGCCACTTAGCTGCCTCACATTAGTGTGAAGATAGTAGTTGTATTTATCAATCATTGCTTCACTTACTCTTGGGTTGCAGACTTATTTTTATATGTTTTTTAGAATAAGAGACCTTCTTGGTCTGGGCTTCTAGAAGATGGCTTTAAAAAATAAATCATTCTATTATGATGAACTGATGCTAGGACTCATCCAGTGATCTTTCCAGAGGGACTGGAACTTAGATAAATCAATCTATGTCTCCACTTTTGCTTCTATCAAACAGCTGTTGTAACATTTGCCTGCCAACCTCACAAGGTCATTGTAAGGATCAAGTGAAATGGTAGACATCAAAAGTGCTTTAAAAATACAAAGCACCAATGTAAATGTGAGGCATCATTATTAGATGGAGCCTTTCTCTCAGACCTATGAAGAACACTCTGTTTTGCAATTCTCTAATGCACTTGTA